GTGTAACCAATGACTGGACAAAATGGCGACCATTTGACGATTCCGACGTATTATTAAAATCTGCTCAACCATAATTTTTATAAAATAATAATCTATTATCTCTAACGTAAAACGAACGTAACAACTCTATTTATTATACATCCATGTCATTCATTACGTTTAAATGCCTTCAAACAATATAGGTTACTAAGCGCGCACCGTCGTAAATTTGCCCTAATCTAAAGACACATAAACGCTCGACACAATAAAAATTCAAATGAAACATTGTGAACACATCGGTTCAGAAAATATACTATAATGAGGCATAATTAAATATTGAAATGAATGCATTTTCAGTACTTTTGTATGGTAATGTTGTGGGCATAAGGTTAAGTTCAGTGTCGAAGCTGCCATTTTATGTAACATTTTCATACGAGGACAAAACAATTGTTAGTTGAACTATATATACTTACAGGTAATAATACGCTGCGTTTAAATTATCTCCATACGGCAATGGCCCCGTAAATTAAGAAACGACAATAGTATTCGGGTATTAGCTTTAGTTTGCAAGCAAGCTCTGTGATAAAAATTGCATAAACTAGGCCAATAATGAAAGAATTAAATATAAAACAATGACATTTAGATAACGGTTTTTATGAATTAATTTAATTAATATGTCTATTATTAGTAGTATTTATAATCTTAATACAATACATAATCAAATGACTTAAGAAACCTTTTATTCTACTTAAATATTTAATTGTATTTATACTCTTATTCCCATAAAAAGGTATGGCTACATTGTTTACTAAGTATATCAAGATTAAGTGATCAGAGCACACTATGACAAATTGCATAGTCATAAAAATATGTGCAATCTATTGTGAATATCATTTGCGATATTTCATCATTTATTAAAATTTATAACTTACAATAATTTGACATTTGGAATACGAGTTAAATAAAAAAGTTTCATCTCATAAACATATCTGTCTGCAAATGAATAGGAAAACGGAAGATATAATTTCCTATTCATATCACTTGAGAATTCGAATATCTATTTCATCACTCACTTACAAAATTGGGTCGAAACTGCGACTTGTATTACTGACTATTAACAACATGTTAAAGTTGCTCTAAATATGTCATCGAGAATCTAAAAAGCAGTATAAGTTACTGTTTATTCGATTATATTTGCATATAAATGGACATTGAAAGAATACGTCGATTTCAACGATTATTTTGATTTAAACACGAACCTACTGACTGGTCTTAATAATTTTTTTATGGGACTAATGTTTAGAAAAATAAGAATTTTTCAATTTGGTTTCTTACTGCCGAAGTTGTCAAGTAACAAACGTTCAACAAATAATACAATCGAGTTTACAATTTCCCTTTTTTAATCTGTAAAAAGGTACATAAACAAAACAATTAGAATTTAAAATTCGCGTTCCATTTTTAAATTTAGGTAGGTAAGCAACGTTGTTCTTTTTGTTTTGGGACACGCATAGGGGAGCAGGCCATTTGAATTTGAATGTAAAGCGTTCAGTTTAACGCTCCTTTGTGAGTCAGTGGCGGGCACGGTTGGCTGGCTGCGAAAATTCGACGTTTGCCTCATACTGAACATAGCGATGGACGAATAGGCGAACACACGTACGAGTATCATTGCATTATATGTATATTATATGTACATGAACGACGCGGCGACGCTGGCAACAGTTGGCGAAATATTTCATGATAACTCATTATCGTCAATGGTCTTTTCAATCATAATCTTATATATTATTACCGTTGCTAAGGAACAGTACTAGTACTTTAAACGTAATAGATTTATACTGTTTACTTCCACCAATGAGCCTAATAATATTACGCATACAGAAAATACCTATAACAACAATGAAATTATTACTGAATGTACTGACACATAATAATTAATTTTAATGTAAGTTATGTTCGTAGAATCTAAATGTAATATGAAAATGTGAACGGGCCTTTATATTGATAATTAGTTTTCAGTACAAAAAAAATGATGGCCTCGAAGAAATTGTGCAAACTTTATCAATGCAAAGTAAACGTTACGTGCCTACTTACATTCACGAACGTCGATACATTACAATTATTTTATATTCACAATTGTAATATATTCTTACGAGAAAAGTAAGTAGTTCCGTACTATTTTTTTAAACGAAAAAATGAGTAAAGACCATTAGATTAATAAGATATGATTTCTATAAAACAAAACCGAGTATGGGCAATTGTACTATATCCATTTGGAATTGCAGCTTTAAAGTGGTGAAAGCAATTAAGTGCTTTGGTTTCGGAGATTTCCGATTACATCGACAAATAAGCAATCTTCCAACTATCGACTTGGATTGTTATAATTACTGGACATTCAGGAATATGAAGATATTAAGTATGTCCCTTAAAAAATACATTAAATAGTACCGAAAATGTATGTTCTAGTAAGAATAACAGAAACAGGTCAAGTGGACAATAAACTTTAGCAAATTGGCATTTCTCAAATCATCAAAAGCAAAGGTAATGTTACTTGAATCGTGAGTGTTACACAATTCGCCTACAGTTATAGTACCTAGGTCGAGCGCGGCCGGGAAATATGAAAATGTTTACTTTGCTCGAAACGCAGTTCCATGAACCTATTTTAAAATAAACTATCGAATCGTGATTCATCTTGCAACAGTTGTAAGAAATATGAAATTACAATATTTTCGCGGTATTAGGTGTTCAAATGCATATATAGGTAAGTATATCATCTAACATAGTCCTATTCTATTGCTAATAAGCAATGGACTGACTATAACGCAAACACAATGGTAGAGAACCATTGTACAGATAGATTAGCCGTCCTAGGTAACGTGAAAGGCTAAACAGGACAATTGAATCGACATATTGATGATGATTTTAAGGCTCTACTATATTGACGATTGGAAATTGATAATCATTTTGCCTAACAAAATCTTGTGTGTAAATACAAAACAACGACTGATACAAATTGTAGCAAACTAGACGCAACAGCTGTACTATTTTTTATTCATTGCATTGATTCGCAAAAAGGTTTTTAACTAGTAAAAAAGTAGAACGATTCAGGATTTGCAATATGGCCTCCAAATCTGACACCTGTATCCGTTTCGCAGGCGCAGGGTGCAGTTGCACTTCTACGTATTGCCTAAGGACTTCGGTAATCGTTGGTAACAATAAAATTACTAACAATAAATTAAATTATTTATATGTTGTTTTAGTCCCACAGCAGCAATAAGTGATACCTACAGAATGTAGAAACGGATGAATGATTGAACTTGTGGTACTTTTTTTTATAGATGAAAAAATAATAGAATGATAACCCACCTGCGCTGGCAGGGCACCAGTGGAAGATCAAAAAATTAGCATGAAATCAATTAGCTCATAATCCAAAAGGACCACAATGGCTTCCAGGGGGACCCGCGTGGAGGACAACCTGTCACAGGTATCACACCTGATATGGTCACATTACTAAGAATCCTCTTCTCCCCTCCCGGTACTATTATAGATACTGTTTGCAAACTGGTGGTAAAGATTTGAGCTATAAGAAGGCAGATAAGGTTGGCCTGGTTAACCTGACAGCGGACCACCGGTGTGCAGCCAGGCTACGACAAATGCTATGAGAATGAATGATGTAATGTCCAAATTAAATAAATGGTTTGGACCGGAGTCAATTAGACCAGGTACCGAGAAAGAGCATTGATTTCTTTGTTCTTCTCCAAATTCACTATGACATGAATCACCGACCATTTTCGCCAGCTAACATGGCGGATAGAACATGTAAATGAAAATACAAACATAATTACTTAAAGGTACCCGAAATGGGGTCTGACGATGTTCTTATCTCTGTGCTATTGTTTAACACGCTTTTTTCATTCCCACGGTCGGCGGCGCACAAGCAAACGGCTGATAACGACGAGCACCTACCTGTTGTGACGAACGTGAAAGAACCTCGAGGAATTCTAACTATCAAACACAGAACAAAACCAACAACTTAAATTTTATGCTTTTTAAATATGAATATATACGTGCCTACTTTTGATAAATTGATTATATCATTGCACCAGATAATTCGTTTAGTAGAAAACAGTGATCTGTGTGATATATGCTACACGGTAATGAAATGTATTGTCGATAATGATGATAATAAAGAATTGGAAATATTTGTTAGGTACGGGTACACATATATAATTATATATCTAATAATCGAAGGCATACCTTTTATATAACAACATCAAATTAATCGTAATCATTTTTCAGAACATCATTTGCATATAGAACTGCAGTTTTACAACAATATTTTATACGATTAGAATGACAAAACACGCTGACGGACTATCTGATAAAAAAAAGAGAATAACTATCCATCACGGGCAATGTAAAATAGTAAACTAAGATAGGTAGCACGCCTACCCCGTATCATAACATCACTGCTAAATCTTATTTCTCAAACTGGATAACAACTTGTAAAGCGTGCTGCTTGGCAGTAAAAATAGATGAAACACCGTGTCATCTGTTTCTACGGATACGCAGATAAGTAAGCAGGTGATACCCCGCAGTTGTATAAGTTTTTAGATTTATTAATTTGCTTTATGAACTAGTTCTGTTACTGTAATAAACTGCTACTGTAATGTTACACAAGTAAATGAAGAATGATCTACCTAGAGACACGTTAATTCTAAAATATAAATTGCAGTAGCAATTGGCAGTATTTTCTTAAGTATTGTTATTGTTTTTGGAAAAACACTACTTATTATACAATCTACAGCGACCAATACATAATTTATAGAGTACATAAAAACTATGGCTTTGTATTCATCTCATGAAGACAAAAAGTGCGTTGTTGAATATAAATATTAAAACGAAACGGCATCAAACAAAGAGTTAGGGAGTCATGTGCAAAATTCACCAGCGACCCACGCTTGTTGAAAGGACAGATAAAATGTAATAGGCATATGAGCTGAATCCATTATCCAATGACGTACAGCAATTACCCATTTAATGCAATTTGGGCCATTGTAAAGTTGTTCAATGCCTCTTCTCGTACATTCCCGGCGACACACACTAAAAAGCACCAATTAGTGGAATCACTACGGAGCAAACACTCTCGAAGCACAGGTAGATCGCGGGCGTTCGTGTCTAGAACCGGTCATTTCAAATTAGCAGCGTTGTATCCAGAGTTTTCAGTAGAAGGGTATGAGGGCGCGCGCGTGCGTCGCTGCGGCCGGCGCGCGACTACTCGCCGCTCAATGGGCGCCTGGCGGAGGGGCGAAGCTCGCGATGTCTCACTCCCAGCGAGCTTACCAAAATCACCAATTGCGACTATTCTCTCATTAAACCCAGGTACTTTACATAACACCCTGACAATTCTCAATAAATACATCAACTGACATCACAGTATCTGCAACTGTTTGTAATCCGCCCAAAAATAGAACTACAAAATTATTTGGTTGGCCTGACTTGGCTTGAGACTGAATCAAGAAAGTGCATGATTTTTTCTAAGCTTCCGAACGTGGAGATGTAGTGCGACGTTAACGCTTTGTATCCGGTGCCACCTGCTCACACTCGAGAAAAGATTATACGTTAGAAGGAGATGAAGTGATCGAGCAGAACGCGGACCGGATGGCGGACTCGGTTATGAATGAATCCGCTATCCTTGTCTGGCGCATGGGTTTACGTAACAAAGTCTCACTCGGTCACAGGTTGTCGCCGTAGAGGAAGTGAAAGGGACAAGACGCGTAGTAAATATTGCGTTCCGTAGATCCCGTCGGCAGAGTTTCTAAAGGGCTTGATTTTTTGTTACACCACAAAGGATGACCATCATTCATAGTTTTGCTATGACATTACCTACAGTACAGAATTTAAAAGTTTTTAAGGTGTTTAAAATTACCTGTTTCCTTTAGTATTTACCTTTCATTGTGTATAAGCATCGAGTGCTTTTATAGTCTTTAGTATTCTTGTTAGCCACTAACATATAAATAACTAGCCGTTTCTTGCAAAACAATTAATTTTTTTATTTCCATTTTATTATTATTTTCTTTGTAATAGTCAAATCTTTGCAAATATCCGTAGGCTCTTCAAAACTTGCTTAACGTCATAAACACATGTAAGGTTATATACATTATATAAATAGATATTTATCAATTATCCATGGGCCACTACAAACTCTACCATTCTGATGGTAGATAGAGTTCCTGCTTGTTAAATTCATTAATATGTAAGTGTTTCCCTTATCCTATCTGTTTTATTGCTTTTTTCAGTCTAAGTTAAATTTTATAAATGGCAAACGAAATTTTGAATTTCTGAACATCTAGTTTTGCTTTCGTAGTAAAATTGCGAATGATCTTGGCACGAATTTCAGATCTTTTTTTAAATTTGTTGATATCAAAATCTATTGCAGATGCAGATATACTGAACGACACGCTGTTTATAAACCATCAATACACATTGAGATTAGAATAGGTATACGTTTTTTATTTTAAATAGTTACTAAGGTAGATACCGTCAAGGTGTTGTCGTAGACTTAGGACAAAATATTTCTTTCGCGGTATTGTTATCTGAGGGCGCGGCGCAGTCCGAGTCAATGTTTGCGGAAGGCTCGCGTCGTCCAAGACCCAGCACGTGGACATTGTTAAAAGTAAATATGAAATCGAAATGTTTACCCTTGGAATTATACAGAGATGGCCAGAGTTTCTTATAAATACCAATAATCCTTTCCAAGTTTAAAACATGTTTCCTTCGAACACAATTTTATATAGCTGTTCGCGGATTTGTTTGTTATTACTTAATTCTATCTACTTTTAGATATGTATATGATTTTTAATCATTTTATGTTTCCTAACTGCGTCTACTATTGAATCTACAGTCTACATTTAATATAGAGTGAGTAATAAACATCTAAGCATTTGAATTCTTGTGAACTGTATTTTAATTTCTGAAATATTTGTAATATATTTCATATAAGGATATTTTATATATTTGCTATTTACACTAAAAAATGTGGGTCATATTGCTAAATTTGAATGACAGCTTATTGTCGCCTTTGACCAATTGTTCAACGTAACTTGCTTTCAAAAATTTCGGTAAAACAAATAAAGTACGTAACAATTGCGTTTCACAAAGACAAACAGAGGATGTGGCCGTTGTCATCATCGATGCTTGGACGCGCTGGTTCTAGGATTACCTTTTTAGGATTCCACAAGTTTGCGTCACGATCATCTTCCTGTCCTAGTGATTTCAGATCATCGTAATATGTTTTAACCTCTTACGAAATCAGAGGCATATTGACATCTCATCTACGATCAACATCTCCATGTACGGTATCTTATTTACTAAATGAACCAACTAATTTAGATGCGGTTTTTTTTGTTTATGAACTAACATGTTAGATGTAGTTCTCAGCTATAATTAAAGAGAAATGAAGGCATTGACAATATTTATCAATTAATTATCGATATTTGTCAAATTTAAACTCGGGTCATTTTTATTTAAATCAGTATTTTAAGCCACTTGGCCACATTGTTGTTAATGTATCAAATTACATTAATTAAAGTTAATTTGCAAAAGAGTGTTACCATGGAATAATTTAATTAAATACAAAATAACATAAACAAAAGGTAAATCAATGCGTTGAGAACGGTGCATCTTGCCACAAATCAATGGGATCCCGTCCTGTCGAACCATGTAACCTCGGAGCGCCAGGTGTTACGCGGGAAGTGCCTCCCCCCCTACCCCCCTACACTGCAGTGTACACCCGCGCTCTCCAGATCGCACGCACACAACTAAAGTGTAGAGGAAGTTACAACCACGGCTATCCTACGGTGACGTACAGATCAAAATGCACATGTGTGTTTCTGTAATTTATTAATGGTATGCATTTGCGTATACGCCGCTCGTTGTGCATGAAAAATGGCAGGCATAAATATAAAATTGAGTGGACTCTAATTCAAAGGTACAGCCATTTAATAGAAGTAGAAGGGTTGTCATCTGCCACACTAAAGTTGTTTGAACCGGGTACTTACAATGTTTTGTAACTTTGTTTGAGATGTAATAATTATTTAAAATTACAGAGATTGACAGTTTTACTTCTAAATGAACAGTTTTAATTCTAAATTCATTATAGAGTGAGAGCGGATTTTAGTATGTCGAAAGTAAATTCAAGAACTATCGTACCGATTTGAGAAATTCTTTCACTGTTGTAAGGTACATAAGATACTTTACTTCAGAGTGATATATGTAGGTTATACATAAGATGTAAAGCATATAAAACTCACAAAGTTATGCGCAACACTGGACCGGCCTCAAATCTGTGATAAGTACGAGTATGCGCTGTAGATATACTCGTATAGTATCATTATAGTTTCTTTCGGTTGATTTCAAACTACTGAATTTGCTCTATAATACAAAAGCAAATTATATTTAGATACTAGAATACTCTAGATTATTTCAATCCGCACGTAATGCCTATTCACTACGACAAATCCCTAGGTATTTATTAGTCACCAGAGGAATTCTTTTATGCGTTGAAGCTTATTGTTAACTATTCACATGGGCATAATGTTATTGACAGGTAGCGAAGTCCATTACAATACGTCCTTCCGGTATCCGATCCAAAACACGAAAATTTAAGAATATATTCTATCGCTGTATTAATAAAGTTAAAATTTAGTAGACTTTTAAATAATATGGACTCGAGAGTCAAAATTGAGGATTTTAAGTTCCAAAATGAACCTAATTTTTTGTAAGGATAGATTGTAATTCGTTTAGAAGGCGATAGTGGCGTGATGGTTAAGTAGGTAGGATAAGTCATCCGGTTTGGTAACATGATATGTCGTGGAAGGGAATGTCATTACAAGCGCAGGCGCAACCCTTTAGTGTTAATCCTATTATTGTAAAGTGGAATAAATGAATACATTCAAGTGGTATATTATGTGTTACGAAGGGTGATTTTATGTAAATGTGAATGGTTAAAAGATTATCATATAAATTTTACATTTTGTTCTACCAATAAATAATTTACTTCAATTGTGAAAAATCTAGTATATGATCCAATATGAAAGAAACTACTGTGTTTGTAGACAGTCATAAAAATCACACATTTGCACGCCTTTGTTACTTAATAACACAGAATAAGTTAGCATTTACCTACTAACCTTTAATTTGGAGAATTAAAATGTATTAAGGTACGTTAATTAATTGCTATATATTCGTTTAACCTTTTAGTAAACATTGGATGCCGTAAATTATAACAATAAACCTTAATCTTAAAGCGTAGCGTTTAAATGCGTTTATGTCTTTTATATGTAAGACAAGTCACAATAGATATAAGATACGAATATGAAGTATATAACTGATTTAATTAATAATGTATGATTATTTTATTAGTAAATAATGTATAATTGGACAGTACAAATAAGCTGACGGCCCACCTTATGATAAGCTGTAACAGCTTATATACATGAACAGCACTACGGACATGATCTTATCATATGACATTCGTGACTCAGACGTGATTTTATAGAACTAAAATGTCATGCTTTATCCTTTAATTTCAATATTTCATTTGATCCTACAAACGAAACATAGCTAACAAAACAATCTGTTTGGCAGCTGAAATAGGTGAGAGTTTGTAATTTTTTTTATATTATGTAAGTGGAAAACAACCATACGGCCCATCTGATGTACGACGGTAACCTGTGGATGCCTGAAACACCAGCGGTATCACTTGCGTGTTGCCGACCCTTAAGATGGCGGTATTAAAGTTACAATTATTTGTTTATTTATCCGAATAAAAAAAAACTGAGGTATCCACACATATGAGTTTTTGATAAATAAAATTTTTTTATATACCCACGTAACATATAACATACGTAGCAAGAAAATTTTAGTTTGTTTTCCAAAATAGAGCCCAATATTTTTTTCCAATGATTTAATTAATATTTAAGTAGATATTCCAAAAAGAAAAACTATAATCATAACTCAAATATTTGAATAAATAATTAAGTACTTTAATATATCCAATTCTTTATAGTACTATGAGAAAAATTACAAGCAGTCATATATTTACATAAATCGTCCTGTATTAATTAAATATAATGGTTCACCAATTCGTTTCTTTCTCAGCAACTGACCAAGAACTGGTTTGGAACATCCATTAATTTATATCGCCTAAATTAAATTAACATTAACGATTAACATTGTCTGCTTTTTATGAAAAATAAACAGGG